GACGAACTTTTCAGCTTGAACTTGTCGGCTTCTACACGCTTGTGAGCCATTTATCTAAGATAAATTTCTCTCTCTCTCTCTTTCTCTCTCTATAAATATATATATATATACTTTGCTGGTTTTTGTGTTTCTCTAGAGAACCCAATCCAACACACTTTGTTACCCCAAAATTTAAGAGACTTACTTTACAGTGAACACGGATGCAATCATAATAGTAACGCCACTCATCTGGAGAAAATGTAATGGTAACTGTGAGGGACAAGCCAGGGACCAGGCGGTGTTCCTGGAAGAAAAGTGACTCTGGTCAGGACAAGTCCCTGACTAGTTAGAAGGCAGCACTCTGGGTGGACAGCATATCATACAACCACTCTAAGCTGACCCATGACACAAAAAAACCTCATCCAACAAAGAACACCATGGAAAGCACAGATAGCCAACTGACACTTACTTTTTTCACATACTTGATCTGAAAATATTTGGTTTGTGGGGGTAAAACATGAACATGTATGTCTTCACCTGAAACATTGACCAGATTCTGTGGGAGAAAAAGAAGCATTTAGAGTAATTAAATGTTTTATTTGCATATTCATCTCACTTATCCATACCTTATCTTGTTCCTAAAGAAATTTGAAGAGATATATTTAAAAATCTTTTACTCATATGAAAATACATCATACATTTAAAGAATAATAAAATATGCCCTATGTGCATACTGCCTAGCAGAGCCTGCAGCCCTTGAGGGTCCCCCTGGCACATATCATCCTCCATCTACTCTCTATCCTGAGCTTTTATGGTGTGTGTGCTTTGTGCTGAATTCTCTTTAGGCTGTGATTCAGTGAGCTAAGAAGCCAGCCACTCACCAACTCCCATAGGTTCCTTAATTGCCTGTCACTGGTCCTAGGGGCTGTATGATACATAACCCAACAACCAAACCCACTACCATTAAGTCGACATAGTGACCCTATAGGATACAGTATGGTCCCCATAGGGTTTCCAAGGCTGTAAGTCTTTACAGAAGTAGACTGCTTCATCTTTCTCCCATGGAGTAGCTGATGGGTTCAAATTGTCAACTTTTTGGTTAGCAGCTAAATACTTTAACCACTGAGCCACTAGAAAATAAAACAGAAAAAAAGAGTGTGGCTTGGACAGCCTCTTTACCACCCAGCTGTCATCTCTCAGTTTGTTGTACTGTGGTGGCTTTATGAATTGCTATAAGCTAGAAGCAATGCCACCAGTACTTCATATATCAGCAGGATCACTCAGGGTGGACAAGTTTTAGCAGAGCTACCAGACTAAGACAGAGTAGGAAGAAAACCTTGGCAATCTACTTCCAAAAATTAGCCAATGAAAACCTCATGGATCATAACAGAACATTGTCAGACATAGTGTTGGAAGATGAGCCCCTTAGGTTGGAGGCACTCAAAATACATAGTGGTGGTAACAAGGGACACAAGCATACCAATAAGCATGGAGATGGAGCAGGGCTGGGCAATATTTTGCATGGGATAACCATAAGGCACAGGTGACTCAACTATCAACAATAAAGGACAGCCTCTAGGTCATATCTGGGACAAGTGGAAAAGAACTAGAGGTCGGTGCTCTGTGTTGGTGATGAGAGAGGGCCACCTCTGGAAACAGGATAACCTGGTTGATAAATTAACCAGATATCTGAGTAAAGAGGTATTTTTCCTTCCTCTACATAAGAGGGAAGTAAGAACTTTGGATCTGAATGAAGTACTGATATCTGCCATGAACATGAATGAACCTTGAAGGTAAGTGAAAAAAGCCAGACACAAAAGAACACATATACATATTATATGAATTATATGAAATATCTAAAACAGGCAAACACATAGAGACAGAAAGTAGGTAAGTGTTTGCCAGGGGCTAGGATTTGTAAGGAGCCCCGGTGATGCAATGGGCAAGCACTTGGCTGCTAACCAAAAGGTCAGCAGTTTGAACCCACCAGCTACTCAGTGGGAGAAAGATGTGGCAGTTAGTTTTGTAAAGATTACAACCTTGGAAACCCTATAAGGCAGTTCTACTCTGTCCTAGAGGGTTGCTACGGCAGTGGGGTAGGGGGAATTTTTGTGGGGAAATGAGAAGTGACTGCGAATGGAGCATCTTTTTAGGGTGAAGAAAATTTATATTTATCTATATAGTGATTTGACTGCTAACCAGAAGGCTGGTGGTTTAAACCAGCCACTCCTCAGAAGGAAGGTTGGGCAATCTACTTCCATTGTGATACCACCTCAGAAACTCAAGGAGGGGTTGCTAGGAGTCAGATCCGACTCGATGGCAGTGAGTTGAGTTTATGTTATAGTATATATTATGAATATTGATTTGTACACTTTAAATAGGTGAACTGTATGGCATGTGAATTGTATCTCAGTAAAGCTGTAAAAGACTGTAAAAAGAAAATAAAATTCTATTTTAGATTTTGGAATACATTTGTCTTAAAAACAATGAATGATTATAAATAATCATTCTAAGTCTACCCTACCATAACCTAGATAGCATTCTAATAACAAGGAAAAGTTCCAAAATGAATTATTAACTGTGGTCTTTGATGCTATATTCTGAGAAATGTACCCTTAGAGGTTGATGGGTGAAGTTCCTACTCATAATTTTAAATTCTGTTTTCCTGAGAGGTAACACTTCACACTTAACAGATTGTTCTCCTGATCCTCCTAGTGGTGTTCAGGCATAAGAGACTCTTGAAAACTGCATGTAGACTACCTGATGGAAACTTAATTTCACCTCCTAATAGCTTTATCATTTGTCAATACCCACCAGTAATGCTCTGCAGTCTTCACAGTCTAATATGATAATCAGGATTCTTTCTTGAATTGATGCATTCTAAGATATGCACCATATTTAAAAGGGAGACCCTGGTGATGGCTGGGCACAGAGCTGGAGGGTATCATCACATACAAAGCCAAGGTCTTGGAGGACCCACATGACAAGTGCCCACATCTATCCAACTCCTACACATGCTCAGAGACCAGTTTGGCTCAGATTTAGGGCCCAGTGTGGAGTAGTTCTGAGATACCATGCCCAGTGTGAGTTGGTAAGGTTACTGGCACAAAAGGTCCATTTTAGCATGGGAGTTGGGATTCTGCAGTCACACAGAGCCCGCCCCAGTCTGAACATTCAGGTCAATGAAGGAAACCCAGGAAGGATCAGACTTTTGTGTAGCTATGTGGAAAATTGCAGTAGCTGTAAACTTGGCTATTTTGCAGTCCATCTTTTCAACTTTCTTCTAGAACCTGTTCCATGGAGGTGACATTCACCTCCCCAGACCTGGCCAGGCAGAAGCCAGAGTGGCCAGAATGACTGATTTAGGCTTGGGCATCTGACTCAAGCTAGGCTAAACAGAACCCTCTTGTTTTCTTCTTGGGAATGAGCTACCCCTGCCCCTGGGGTTATAGGTGTGAAATGAATGTGCATGGCTTAGAGGAAGCCAGCCCACGAGTTAAATTCTGTCTCTATTACTTAGTAGCTGTGTATCCTTGAACAAAGTATTTAATCTTGTGGAATCTCAGTTTTTTCATCTACTTAATGGGGTAATGATACATCCTCCATAGATTTACAAAGACTAAAATAAAACACTAAACATAGTACCTGGCCCCTAAGCAACACTTAGCAATGATACCTATTTGGAAATAGTGCTGGGAGGAGCCTTCGATAGCAGGGAAGTACTTGTCCAAGGACACCAATCAATTTAAAAATTTCTCATCCCCAAATTACCTTTCTGGCCTAGGTGACACCTGTACTTCTGTTGATTATGCTACTCTTCAGATGAATCAGTACTATAAACACAGAATAGTCATGTTGTTTCGTTATTATGATTAATTATCCCATTTACAAAGTACCTACCAGAATCTGTTGGTGTTGTTTTTCTATTTGATAGCCTCCAAAATGCAATATGCCAGGTTTTGCTTGTATAACCTTATTATTCAGAAGCTTTGCATAAACCTCTATAAAAAGCAATGTAGATAAATACATTATGATACAGAAAACTAAATATTAAATTGAAGAAGATCCAATTAACATGGGATGTCTTTAACTTGAGACATTTGAAGCATAGGAAAATTTTAGACAGAGGATACAGCTGTCAACAAGATTAACTGCTCCTAATAATCTGGGCTGCTTCTTACTCTCTATTTTGAAACATCACCTAGGAAATTTTACCATCACAATATAACTCATATATATTGTTTATTGCCTATTAAAATTATTTGCTCTTCAAGCATTTTGTATAAATCTTTGTAATATAACATTAGGCCCTTAAAAGCACAGGCCCTATCTTTGCTCTGTGTAACTATGTTGTTACTTATTATGTGTCAAATACTCACTTCAAGGATTCAAACACCAAATGCTTGATTTTATTACTGAGTATTTAACTTTTATTATGTGATTTCCTCTGAAGAGAATCACAATGTGATGTACAATAATTTTAAACTTCTAAATAATTATCTCCCTGAACAGCAAAGTCTCAAACAGCTTTTATTGTAACGTGAGCATCTTTTTATTTGTTTCCAGAACAAAGTTAAAACAGCTGAGCTCACATAAGTGTCCAGGTCTGCAAAACTTTCCTCAGCTCTTTATTTAGGCAGGAGCAGACACTTGAGGACAAGGAATTGAGAACCCATTAATCCCCTTTTGAAGATTTGTGGTTCGAGTCCATCCTAGGCACCTTGGAAGAAAGGTCTGGCAAACTACTTCCAAAAATTTAGCCATTGAAAACTCTATTCAGCATAGTTCCATTCTGACATACATGGGGTTGCCATGAGTCAGAATTGACCTGACAGTAACTATTGTTTTTAAAGTGATTTGTGTCAAGCGGTGCTATATATACATTTGCTTAGACTCTTCATGCCAACCATGTGAGGTAGGTATTATTCCTACTTTGCAGATGAAGAAGCTGAGATTCAACAAGCTTAAGCAACTTGCCTACAGCTGCTGCTTAAAAATCAAGCCCAGTCCTGTCTGGCTCCAACCACTATACAAAACTGCCTCACTCAAAATATGAATTCACCATCCAATTTCTTACAAATGATAACCATTCAACTTTGGCTATATCCAAATCATGTGAACCACAGACACCTCTACCCCATTGCAATGCTAGTACACACTTGCAGTGGGTGTGAAATGTTTGGTGTGTTTGCACCTCACCAGGCAAGCTGTCACTATCATCAGCTTTGTGCCAAATTAAAGGACGGTGTGGCAAGTGGACCAAATATCTCTGGAAGTTATCATTTGGTAATTTTAATAATTATCATTATTTCTTTTCTTTTTTTTTTGCTGAAATTTATTTGTTGTTTTTTAGGGCCACAAAATAGATGTAAAACTGGCATTTTTCTGCTAATGCCCAAGACTGGTAAAGTATTCTAATTTATACTCTACAAAAGAGCCACACCAAATTTTATATTCCAAGTATTTCAGATACGCCTTGGAGAATGAGTTGTTGTTGTTATGTGCCGTCGAGTCAGACCCAACTCATAGTGGGTTTCCCATGCAGTATCACTATGGAAGTAGATTGCCCAATCTTCCTTCCGAGGAGTGGCTGGTGGGTTTGAACCACCAGCCTTCTGGTTAGCAGTCAAGTGCCTTAGGCACTATGAGTAGGAAGTAATAAAGCATGATAGAAGAGAGCCTGTTGCTATGGATGACAGGAGTGAAGGGGAGTCATAGTGTCTTCAGCATCTGTCCCCCTTCCACTATACAAAGCAGTCCCAGAAGATAGCAGGAGATGTCACAGTGGGCTTCCCAGTCCATGGGGCAAAAGAGCTGAGCACCTTTGGGTCAAGGCTTTCTGGCAGAGTAGGGTGTTTCTGGGCACTTATTGGTAGAGCTATATAGCTTTGTAACACTTGCTTGAGCAGGGCAGAGGCTGGACCAAGGGGCCGAGGGCCAGACAGAGGCCTGCCTGTGATCACTGCTAAGAAGCTGTCCTGACCAGTCCTGAGTCATTTCTGATCCTGAATTATAACATGTTACTTCCCTAATAAGCCCATAATTGTGAAGAAGGAGAGAAAGAAGAGGAGGAAGAGGAAGAAGAAGAAGAGGAAGAAGAGGAGGAGGAGGAGGAAGAGAAGAAGAAGGAGAAGGAGAGAGCCAGGAGACATCAGGCTACAACTCCTGAATACCAGCTCTCTAGTTCCTAGTTGCACCACCTTAGAAGACTCATTTGACCTCTCTGAGTCTCAGTTTCTCTAATAGTAAAATAGAAATAGAATGTGCTTTTCATGAAGTTGTCATATGGATTACATGAGAATATACCTACTCTTCACTTATCAACTGTTTCATTATCCAACATTTCTCATTTACGACCATAGTGAAAAATGTACTATCTGACTATTTAGCACCTTAACAGCATATATCTGGCAGTAATGCATGCTGAGGTGTGAGGTGTGAGGTGAGAGTAACACTGGCTGTGATGGCTAAGGTTATGTGTTAACTTGGCTGTGCCATGATTCTCAGTAGTTTGGCAGTTATGTAATGCTGTAATCTGGGAGTTATGTAATGATGTATTCATTCCTTGTTTTGTGATCTAATGTGATCAGCCTCCATTTTTGCATAATGCCTATTTTCACATAAGGACCTGGTCTGTGGAATCTAACCATGTCAATAAGCAAGGAAAGGGAGAAATGTAGGGAAAATCATTAACTTTCATACACTAGTTATAAGATTTACAAGGTTTTCCAGGCTACAGGATGTGGATGAAAAAAGGTAAGAAGGTGAAAAACGCATGTGGTGTCGAAGGAGCAGGGATTAACATGGTGTGACTAGAGCTACAGAGGAGTGGAGAGAGTGTGAGGATTACCCTAGATGTATAGGTTCAGATCAGACAGCAAAGGGGTTCAAATACCAAGTGAAGAAATGGCAACTCTATTCTGTATGCAAGGGGAACCACTCAGAGGACTGGAGCAGGCCGGGAACAAGATGCAGCCAGAATTTTAGAGAGGAAATGATGGAAATGTGAAAAGCAGTCTGGAGAGTGTGGCCAAGGAGAAAATCACTGCAATACTCAGAGTGATAGCCTGAGGATAAGAAACACAGTGGAGACAGACAGGAAAGACATTTGAGAAAGTAGAAGCCACAGAACTTGGTGACTAATTTATACCACAAAAATCTATCAGTTAAGTTAAGTATTGATTTATGTGATGAGAAGGGCAATGTACCAAATGTGAGTGACCAATATGGTGGCAATGAGGAATTGAAAGACATAGAGAGGTATGCAGGAGGTACAGACAACAAAGATGAACCCTTTTGCTCATATAGTACTATGTTGTCAGTGAAGGCAAACATGGGTATACTGGTGGCTGATAGGTAGACAGGCTGAACTATTAGGTATGTCTATGAAGTGGTGAGTGTATCCAAGAACATGTATAGGGTTGGCAGACAATGGTCCTATAAGTTTATGTGAATGATCAGAATTGCCAGGTGTATGGTAGAGCTGACAAGGGGCAAGGTTGTGGTCACTGCTTGGTCACAGCCAGCTACCCAGAGGGACCGAGTAGTTAAACCTGTGGGCTTGGGACCATAGTCACAGGGGACATCAAGTTCAATTGACATAACATACTATATAAAACATTGTTCCATGTCCTACTTTGGCAAGTAGCAACTAGGATCTTAAAAGCTAGCAAGCTGCCATCTAGATGGGTCTCTCCTCATCCAGAGCAAAGAAGAATGAATAAAACCAAAATTACATGGAAACAATTAGTCCTAGCGACTGGTACACCATCTGATCTGCAGCCTATAGTGACTATGAGACCAGAAGAACTAGATGGTGCCTGGCTACCACTGTCATCCACTTGGAAGGGGATCTATGTAGGAGATCCTTGATAGAGAGGGAGAACAATGTGGAACAAAACTCAAAATCAAAAAGAGGGGGGGACAGGTTTTCTGGTCTGATAGAGCCTGGTGGAACCACTGAGACTATGGCCCCTAGCTGCCCTTCAGGTCTGGAATTGAACCCATACCTGTGGTTTCCAGCCAAACAAAAGACAGGCATATGAGTTCAACATTTACCTGAGGTAGATACACTCTTTGGAGAGAACAATCATGGGAGAAAGAAGGGCTGCTTATGCACAGAGAGACAGCTCAGGGGGCAGGAGTGTATGGAGGGATGGACACAGGGAAGAGGTAACTATGGGGAGAAAGTGGGAGGGGAGCTGTTGTATTGTGGTAAACTGTGGTCAATGTCATGAAACACAGTGTATGTGAACTGCTGTATGGAAAGGGAATTTGCTCTGTAAATTTTCACCCAAATCACAATCAAAAAAAAAAAAAATCTATCAGTTAAGAGATGTGGTTTTTCTGATATAAATAGAACCATTGTTCTTAATAAAAAATATTATGAGCCCATGAAACAATATAAATAAATAAGCACCAAAAATTCCATTATGCTTTCTGGACTTTGGATTCTCTGGGAAAATATAAGCTGTGAAGCAAATCTGTTTTCTAATCACTTACTTGACTCTAGGAGGTGATTAGGTACTTCTGTTCTTTTCTTGGGTTCCTCCACTAGGCTCCTCAAAAGGAGGGGCGATACCTCACTAAACGGTTCTTCAGCATTTTTCAGCTCTCTGCTTGGGGTTTTCACCACTGCCATTTTATCATGAAAAATGGATTCTTCTTTTGAGAGCCAAACGTCAGTTCCTGGCAAAAACAGTAGCAGCATAATCATCTATGAGAAACTACACATTTTTTTTCCTCAGTCTTTGACAAATGTATCTCGTCACTGCCGTGGTTTACTGTGTTTCAACTTCCCTTGCTTCTTGTCTCTCTGCTGGCCGCTCCATTCCCACACATGGCTGCCTCATTAATTTTCTTACATCACACATCACAACCCAATATCATGCTACTGCTTGAAACTCTTTAATGGTCCTTAATTTTTCTCAATAACTTTTCCCAAAATGTCCTCTCTGAGATGTTACTTGAGCTATTAGTAGGGGGCATTAGAAAAAAAGTAAGGATTCTCACAGTGAAATAAGTTTGGGAAATGTTGAAGTAAACAGTAATAAACAGTCTTCTATTCTTGGATTTCCCCAAATCAGCTTCTTAGATGTATGTGACCTGGAACCTTTTAAGATTTGGAGACACTGTTTGCTAGACATTGGCATTTATGACCCATCTTCCTGACCCCCTCTCCAGCAGGGGGCGATGTGGAGGTGGAGACCCTACAGACAGCCAGGCTCATCGACTTCCTCCACTGGCGCACCGGTTCCTTTCCTAGGCGCCTTGTGGGTTGGGCTTCATGATATATCTGTTGCCAGAATTTCCTTCCCTTCACACAATCATTTTAAGTTCCACCTTCATAAGTTCCACACTGAACCACATCCTTTAAAGCACTTTAGTAATTATAACTAAACAAATCTACTATCTGTTTGGCATTAATACCTTTTGATGGTATTTTACAAATCTCACACTAATATGTATCTTTCACAGCACAGTCTTTTAACTTGGGGCTCCTGGATTGACTAGTGGGCTGCTCTGAAGAAGGCCCACAATCTTAGATTCCCAAAGGAGTCCTGGACTTAATATTTTATGAGCCATTTCTCTACAGCATCAAGAAAAATATACAGAGGAGGTGCTTGATGATCTCCCATTTCACCTCCCACTGCCTCTCACAAGCATCGCTGAAAATCCCCCACATTCCAGCACAGGTCCACTGCCCTCCTTCATTCCCCTCCCCAGTTCTTTCAGCACCTGTCCCCAGCTCACATTCCCACCCCTCTCTCTCTAGTGCCCTCATAGCCTCCGCTTGTACTTCCAGGCAGACACAACATACTAAACCGTTTTTCACCCCTAAAGTGGACTTTAGTAGGTCACCCTTGTTGGGCACGCATACACACACTCCACACACACTCACACATCCTCAGTCTCTACAACCCCTTCTCATTCTTGCCAAACGCCTTCTCTTCTCGAGATCCCTTTATCCCATCTTCTGCTACGGGTAGGGGAAGAGTCAAGACGCGCGCACCATCCCCATTTTCGTTTAACCCTTTTAGACTCGAACCCTCCTCCGACCCAGCCCAAGCTGACTTGCGACTGGACACCGGCCTGGAGGTCGGACTGCCTCAGCAACTCGGCGGTGTCTCCTTGGCCACCCCGGGCTCGGGTCCGAGGCCCTCACTCTAAAGAGGCCTCCAGGGCTGGATTCCACCGGCGTCGCCACCCGCGCAAACGTGTCGCCATGACGACGACGACGCGCTTCAAGATGAGCGGCTGGACGCGACCAAGCTCTTCAAGGACGTGTGTGTGGAGGAGGGGAAGGGGGCAGCTGGTGGACCCGGCTCAAGAGGGAGGCTGTAGGTGATTTCTGGGGGCTTCTTACAGAAGGTCTGAAGGAAGAATTGCTATTTATGAGGTGTGAGAGTAATGGATTCCTGAGGAAGTGGGCAAGTCAGGAGAATCCCATAGACTGGAAACCCAAGAAGAGCAGATATCAGGAAAGATGTAAGCAGAAAGGAGCAGGGCCTCCCAAGTGTGGTGGGTGGAGCTTCCCTTGTTTTTTATAGTTTTCTTTGTACAGTTCTTTTGTGTCCCTGGTAAGATTTATTCCCAAGTATTTTTTTTTTTTTTTTTTGGCTTGTTTTACATTTTCTATTATAGTAAATTTCAAACATATACAAAGGTTGGCAGAATGGTATAATGAACCATCAACATACAGCTTGCAGCAATGATCAAATCATCTAAAAATCTCTCCACTGCTGTCTTGTCGTGTAGCAAATTCCAGATATCATTATATCTATAAATATTCTGGAATGTATCTTCAAAAGAAAAGAAAAACCAAACTCACTGCCTCCCAGTGGATTCTGACTCATAGCAACCCCTCCTTGGGTTTTCCATGTGTTGTCTCTTAAGAAGTAGATTGCCCAGTCTTCCTTCCAAAGAGTGGCTAGTAGGTTTGAACCACCAGCCTTATGGTCATCAGTCAAATGCCTTAAGCACTACGCCACCAAAACTCCCTCCAAAAGAAACTGTTTTTTCGTTTTGTTTTGTTTTTTAAGGTAAACACAATACAAGTACCTTAAAAAATTATCTTTTTAAGGTGTAGTACCTAAGGCAGTTGACTGCTAACCAGAGGCTGGCAGTTCAAACCCACCAGCCACTCCTTGGAAGGACGATTAGGCAATCTATTTCTGTAGTGATACTGCCTCGGAAACCCAAGAAGGGGTCGCTATGAGTCAGATCCGACTCCACGCAGTGAGTTTGTTTTTTTTTGAGTTTCAAATATTACATTGTCAATTTTCTCTTTGTTGTTAGGTGCCATTGAGTTGTCTCCAATTCATAGTGACCCTATGTACAGCAGAACGAAACACTGCCAGGTCCTGTGCCAGCTCCATCATCTTTGCTATACCTGAGCCCATAGTTATAGCCACTGTGTCAATCCATCTTGTTGAGGGCCTTCTCCTTTTTTGTAGACCCTCCACTTTACCAAACATGATATCCTTCTCCAGGGAATGGTCCCTTCTAATAATATGACCAAAGTAGGTGAAGCAAAGTCTGGCCATTCTCGCTTCCAAGGAGTGTTCCAGCTGCACTTCTTCCAGGACAGATTTGTTAGTTTTTTAGTAGTCCATGGTACTTTCAGCATTCTTTGCCAACATCACAACTCAGAAGCATTGACTCTTCTTCAGTTTTCCTTATTCATTTTCCAGCTTTCACATGCATATGAGGGGACTGAAAAATACCATGACTTATGTCAGGCACACCTTAGTCTTCAAGGAGATATCTTTGCTCTTCAGCACTTGAAAGAGGTCTTTTGCAACAGATTTGCCCAGTACTATATGTTGTCTGATATCTTGACTGCTGCTTCCATTGGTGTTGATTGTAGAAACCAGTCATACACTGACAACTTCAATCTTTTCTCCATTTATTGTGGTACTGCTTATTGGTCCAGTTTTGAGAATTTTTGTTTTCTTTATATTGAGGTGTAATCCATATTGCAAACCATAATCTTTAATCTTCATCAGTAAGTGCTTCAAGTCATCCTTACTTTTCGCAAGTAAAGTAGTGTCATCAGCATATCACAGGTTGTTAATGAGTCTTCCAGTTTTCTCATAAATGTCATTGAATAGTTTTTTTTTAAAGAGTTTGCCAGTTTGAATCAGGATTCAAATAAACACTACACATTGTGATAGATTGCTCTCTTTTAAATCTCTTCTAATCTATACAGTCCTCCTCCACCTCTCTATTTCTTTTTTCCTTTACAATTTATTCATTGAAAAAAATTGTTTCTGTTCTTGATACTGATATTTATGGGTTATATGGGGCAATCTACTTCCATAGAGATACTGCCTTAGAAACCAAGGAGGGGTTGCTATGAGTCGGGTCCAACTCGACGGCACAAAACAACAACAACACACCATGAAACAGGGCCAGACTCCCCACTCCTCAGCCCCATGTACTCCACCCTGCTCCTCCATGGGCATTATTTCTTACATAGATGGCCCAGCCTTCTCTCTTGCCAACAGCTGTCCTTACCTGCAACCCTCTTTGTATGACTTGACACTTGCTTGATATTATTTATGGTTTTGTCTTTGTTCAACCAGAATACTTCTCTATTCCACACCTACATCACTTGTTTTGTTGTGTGTATTTGTTTCCTTTTTCCCTCCTATTATTCATTTTTTCCATTTTCCCATTCTCCAACCCTCCTCCCTACCCCACTACTATTACCTATTAAAACTCTCTCTGTCCTTCAAGGATAGCACTATGGCATCTCCTTGAAGGCCACCCACTCTACTTCCAACCTTCCCAGCCAGAAGGCCTATTTCCCTCCTCTGTGCTTGCATAACACTGCATTCCACCATCATCTCTGACACTTATCTCTTTAGATGCTGCACCTGTGAGTATTTGTGTATGTGTCTTAAACAGCAAAATTCTCAGAGGGAGGGGACTGTGTCATATCTTTGCGTCTCTCACAACCCTTGGCACAGTTCTTGTTCACACTGATTAACCAATAAATGTTGGTAAAGTGGGTGAAAAATTTATTTGCTTATATAATAAGTTACTTTTGTTCCTTCTGTTTTGTTGCCCCAGCAAGGTTGTACATTTCAGGACACCAGGCACTATGTCTCCCATAGCCCACAGCTTTCCACAGCATGTTCAAATCATATTTGGTTCCATACACTTTTTAATGGATATTGGGTAATGTTGTTGTTGTTGTTGTTATGTGCCGTCGAGTCGGCCCCGACTCATAGTGACCCTTCCTTGGGTTTCCGAGGCAGTATCACTACGGAAGTAGGATTGCCCAACCCCAGCATGTTCAAATCATATTTGGTTCCATACACTTTTTAATGGATATTGGGTAATAGTACTTAATATATACTTGCTTTCTTAGAAAATTGCCAAAGTCCCTGATAATAGATAATAGTAAGTAATCCCTATGCAATAATTTAACCAAATTATATATTACAAATCAATTAACAAAATTTTATATGGCAATGTAGTAGACACTGCTGGCTTCTTACTTCCACTTTCTTACTAAAAGAACCACAGTTTTGCTCAGGTTTCTCATCATATCCCCATACCCTCACTTCCCCAGTTCCAGCAGTAGATGTTGATTGTTGTTAGTTGGTAGCAAGCCAGCTCTAACTCATGGTGAGTGCATTTACAACAGAATGAAACATTACCTGATCTTGCACCATC